CCTGGGGGATGCCTCCTCCATCTCAACACACTGAGCTGGTGCTCCTCCCTACAAACCCTGTGCTCCGTGCCCACTTGTGCTGCAGGGTGTGGGAGGACGTCCTCCAAATGGTCTCCAGGCAGGAGGAGGCTTTTAGAACGTACTCCCTGTGGTCCCCAAGGCAGAAAGATGTCTTGTGAGCATCCTCCAGAAGGTTCTTATCAGCCCAAAGGCAGGAGGAGGCCTTCTGAAAATCCTCTAGAAGATCCCAGGAGGTCCTTATGGTCGGAGGACATCTTCTACACATCCTCCAAATGGTCCTCAGGGCAAGTGGAGGCCTTCTGAATGTCCTCCAGGTGTTCTCCAAGAACACCAGAGCAAAAGGAGGTCTTCTTGAATGTACTCCAAAAGGTGCTTAGTGCAGGAGAAGGCCTTCTGAATGTCCTCTTCCCCAAAGCCCCAGGTCAGGAGGAGGTCTTTTGGACATTTTCTAGAAGGTTCCAAGGGGCACATTTGAGTGAGACCCATGCTGTAAAAAAGCATGCAAACCAAGGCAGCTCCAGCAAAGAGCTCCCCATGGCCCCAAGCTCTCCTTTTTCTCCTGTTCCTATTCTTCCCCACTCTGAGGGCCGTGCCTGGGCACTGCTCTGGGCTGGGAGTGTGGGTTTTACAGCCCACATTTAATTGTCCCTGTGGCAGCGAGTGCTTGGAGTGCTCCCGAGCATTAAGGTTAAATGATGATATCACAACTTACGATGTTTGCATTTTACATCCAATTGCAAACACAAACCCTTCGCCTCATTAATCCTTTGCAATCCTTTTTTTTTTTTTTCCTCCCTCTAAATGAAATTGTCCATTTGGGATGCATTTATTTCCCTCTAACAGCCACATGACAGTTCTGCTGATGGAGTTTGCATCCAACTTTGTTACTGGGTAGTGACAAGTTGGCCTGACGGATGCGTGTGTGTAATTATTTTCTTGTGGTTCGATTTAATTAATGCTTAACCTCATCAGAGTCCTACAGCTGGAGGGCTCTCTCTGCAAGAACTGCTTGCAGCCAAAGGATTTTCTCCTTTGCAGAAAGGCTCCAAAAGGTCCCTGAGTGCATCACGGTAAGGAGGGAGGACTGAACCAAACCACAGCAAAAAACAAACAGTCCCAAATCTCAGCCCTACAAAAACAAATCTCAGCTAAGCTCTTCCTTGCTACATGTCCCCACACTAAGTGCATTTAAACTGCTGCCTATTGCTTGTCATTAAATCTGACTCTGCACTAAGTGTTTCTAACAGCTCTGGGAAAGGTCATATTTTGCCAAGAAGATGTGCTTTTATAAAAAAAAAAAAGCAAAGCACAAACCTTCTCCATTTACAGTACCGCATAACTTTTTTTGAGTGTAATGCCTTTTTCATACAAACTTTCTCCCCAGACGCTTTTATTGAGTGGAGTGCATTTAAGCTTTATAAATAATCCAGGGAAGGAGGATGGTGTGAGTGCAGGTGCAAGAGGGTGGCTCCTGGCTGCAGGTGATGGTGGGCTCCATATTGCTGAGGCTGCAGTAGGAGCCCTCCACTTGCCTGGATGGGAACACGCTGTGCTGCATGCCCATTGCCATGCTCCATGCCCATTGCCATGCTCCATGCCCATTGCCATGCTGCTTGTCCCCATGCCCCCCCCCCCCAGGGCCACGCTGTCCCCAGGGCCACTCCAGGACCAGGAGCTGGGCTGGGTGCTCAACACAGAGGGCTGGAGGTGGCCCTGGGGAGGTGGGTACACTCTGAGAGGGGTCTGGTGCCCTCTCCTGGGGCAGGAGCTTAAAAGCACCCTGGCCATCGGTGTGTTGGTATAAGTAATCTTTGCATTTGTAAAAAGTCCCCAAAATGCAGCACTGGAGTGAGGCTGGTGGCTGAGAGCTCCTGTGCTCACACGCAGCTCTCCTCTGCTTTGGTAAGTGGGAAAGTTCCGTAGGTGCTTTGCTCTTTTAAAATAAATGCGTGATTAATGGACTGTTCAATCCCAGGCATGATTTAGTGTAGAACAGGGCTGTGTCTTAATGCATTTTAGAGGTCATCGCTGTGCCATAATCGACTGAAAGTTACAGACCCCAAAACTGCAGTTTGGCCAGGCTGTCCCACTGCTGCTCTCCTCCCTTCTGCCCCCATCCCACTTTTTGTGGCTCACTCAGGGCATTCACCTCAGCCAGGTCACAGCATCACATCCTGCTCCTGTCGGGTTCTCCTGATGGAAGCAGGATGCAGTGGTCTCATCTTTGCCGTGCAAGTGCTGCCATGCTGTGAGGGTTGGGGTCTTGGCAACTCCTCACAGCAGTCCTAAAAGCAAAATTCCAGAGAATCTGCCTCTCTTGCCCACCCGATGTCTTTGTGTGCAGTCACAGCAGAGGGGCTGTGGGGACATTGTCACCTTCCTGAGCCACCAGGTGGGCTTTGTGGGACTATCTGGAGCCCTAGGATCTGTGCACTTGTACCTGGCCACCCCAAATCTCCAAATTACAGGGCCTGCACAACCCCAGCTGGGCTGCAGAGCATGCACCTGTTAATGATAGGATCTTCAATTGTGTGATCATGGGATGTATTTGCCTTGGGTCCCTCCCTCGCTCCCATCTAAATGAGCATCAGACTGAAACCCCACATCAGCACACACTGCCCAGCACAGGTCTGAGCTGCGGCTGTTTGAGGGGATTAATGAGTTTGTCAATCTGCAAACAGGATTAGCACCAAGAGCGCCTTATTGAGACGACTGGCAAGTGCTGCAAGGCAATGTGAGCACCTTTCTGCTGTCCTTTGGGGCTGGCTTCATCTGTGGGTGCTGGGGGACACCAGCAGTGGGGTTTGGGATTTGTTTTGCTGTGCTTTAAAACAGATATCGCAATCTTGTAGGTTTTCTGGGGGTTTTTTTTTGGTCTTTTTGGGGGGGGCATGTGTTTAGCAAAGTAATTGTGGTGTCAGCTCCCACTTGCTAAAAGTTTCAGTGCAGTGCTGCAGCACTCCCATGGAGCTGGCGTTGCGCTGCTCCAGCACAGCTCTGCTGCTGCAGTGCTGCTGCAGGGGGGCTGCATCTCTGCCACCTTATCTCCACCCACAGCACCTCATTCTGCTTTGGGATTGGGGCGGTGATTGGGGTCTCCTCCATCCCTGTACCCTGAAAACCATCACCAAGATGAATCCCAGCGCCCGCAGCAGCTGGGAGGGATAAAAGCATCCCTGCCCTGATGGATTGGAGCAGACGTTTCCACCACGGGCTGGGGAACTGCGCTGGGTCCCCACCTCCTGTACTTTGGCATCCTGCACGGTTCTGGGTAATCAGAAAATGCAATATCGCTGTCACCAGTTCTCTGAAGACATCCAGCCTGAGTAATGTAACATGTCAGCACCATCCATCACGGCGACGCGGGCAGCAAGCAAACACGGGGCAGCTGGGGGCCGGGATGTGGGCTGGCACGAGGCTGGGCCAAGCTGAACCTGGCCCTCTGCCCTGCAGAAAACCATGGGGTTTTGCTCCGTGCCTTTTATGCAGTAAGGCAGCACTGCTGCAGCCATCCCCGTTGCTCTGCCAGCACGGCTGCTAGCTGCTGGCCTTACGGTGTGCAGCTTGTGTGATGGGATGGAAGGGACTCTCAGATTCTGGGTTTGGGGTCTGGAGGCACAGCTGTGAGTGGGATCCCAACCCCACACCACTAGCATCAGTGCTGTTGGCAGCTCTGTGCTGCATTAATGCCCTCCTGCTGCTTTCTAGGACCCTAATAGAAATATCTCGGTAACACCAGGTAATTAATGGTCACACTTAAGGGCCCTAAATCACACCTGGTAGTAAAGCAGCAAACACCAGGCAGCGTTTACAGTGGCATGAATCACCTCACAGCCCTTTATTCCCATTTCTCCTCAGTGCCTGGGCACTGCCTAGCTCCAACCCTCAGTGCTGCAGCTGGGCATGCCCTGAACACAGCACAGCACAGCCCCTGCTCCAGCCCATCCCATGGAGCTCCGGATCTGAAGGCTTTTCCACCCACCTCTCATCCCAGTGATGGAGAATTCCCAGGGCAGGAGGCAGCACTTTCGCTTTCTGTTCCCCTGCCAACAATCTGTGCTGCTGCCTAGAATAAAGGATTTTTTAAAAACAGTAAAATATTTTAATGGCGGTTTAAAGGCCCACTGTCAACCTCCAGGGGCCTCTTTGCTTGAAACTTCGTTAGGATTGCAGGCCTCCTGCCAGCACTGCCTCTCATCTGTCTTTCCCTCTGTGTCACAAGGAGGTGGCACACAGAGGTGTCTGTGACTCCCGTGTCCCCACTGTGTGCGGGGAGCAGGCAGACCTCAGTGCTTGGGAGCCAGCCCTGCACTGGGGGGTCCTGAATGCTCCTAAGTGCATTCAGGATCTGTTCTTTTATTTCTACTGCCTTTTTCTGTGCAGTGAGCCCCTGAGATTCACTGTGCTGCACTGCGTGGGTGTCTTTGGGAGGAGCAGCTCTCAAGTGCGGAGGTTTTCCTTGTAATATCCATTGCAATTGTCTCGTGGTAGCAAGCACACTGTGAGCGTTTGCTCATGCTGCCATTGGCGTGAGGGCAATTAGGTATTGGCAGAATCACAAGTGATCAAAGTGCCCGGCCACCTCTGGAAGCCTCAAGGCTCTGCAGAGGGCAGTGAAGCCTCGGCACTGCTGCCCAGAGCTGTGGGTGCCCCATCCCTGGAGGTGCCCAAGGTTGTGGATGGGGTCCTGGGCAGCCTGAGCTGGTGGGGGGCAACCAGCCCGCTGCGGGGGTTGGGGCTGGGGGTGCTTTGAGGTCCCTTCTGACACAATCATTCTGTGCTTCTCTGATCTTTTCTTCTCTGTCACTTCAGGTGGCATCGGCTTTGGTCGTGCCAAAGGGAACTCTGGCTCAGAGGCGGATGATGAAACCCAGCTCACCTTTTACACCGAGCAGTACCGGAGCAGGAGGCGAAGCAAAGGTAAGAATAAAACAGCCACTTGTGCTGCACGTGGCTAGAAGAGACAAAAGGGGCTGAGCACCTTGACTGTACCCTTGGGTAATGCATGACTGCAGGTAAGGACAACAGTAGTTTGTACAGGGAGAGCATCCTGAGATGCAGTGTTTCTGTGATGCTGTGGGGTGCAGGAGCTGCTGATAGCATTACCCAGTGATATTGTCGAAGTTCATAGTTTGTTGGTTTCTGGTATCAGTTATCCATTTCAGCAGGCCAGGTAGTTGCTTCCAACCCCATTTCCCCATGGGGAATGCTGGGGATGCTTCCTCCACAAGCTCCACTGGGAAGCAGTTTCAGAGCTGTGCCATGGGTCTGCTCCCTGTTTGCTTTGATGTTCGAGCAGAGAGCAGCACAGCAGAGCAGTGCCTGGACCCAGCACAGCGCACACCTCCTTTTGTTTCAGTGATGAGGCATTGGGATAAATGCTTGCAATGTGTTGATTTGAATGTGAAATTACCTCAGCACCTGTGATCAGCTCGATGATTGCATGCTGGCATAAATGTGCGCAACATGGGTGTATTGTGTGCGTTCCTGCTGAAATGTGGGAATTTCATATTTTCCTGTGTGTTTTAGAGCCACAGGAAATTCCCACTGGGGTTAAAAGGAGCTTTGGATGGAAGGCAGGGAGAGAAATCAAGGTGGAGTTACATTGCAGTGCTAATGCAGCTGGATTAAGAGTAAAATGGTTTCTTGATGCCTGTTTTTGAAAACAAGGAAGAAATGGATTGTGTGGCACACGGTGACAACAGAAGCAGTGCTGAAATTTGGTGGCACAAGGGGGAAATGTTCCAGAGTCCTTTGTTCTGTGAGTTACACTGCGATGCTTGTGTGCAAGCCCATGGGTACTTTGGGAAAGTTGCTGAAGTTGGGTTTTCTCTCTTGTTTTGTTGGGAAGGGGACCATTGTGTGCAAACAAGGGGAAAAGATGTGTTTTAACGGAAAGTAAATAAAGCCTGGCTTTCCTGCTGCCTCTGCACCTTTCCCATTGGGCCAGGTGCTCCATCAGTCTCTTGAAACCCCCTATAGCTACTGCAGAGACATCTGAGGTGTGTTTGTTTGGGCTGTTTGTTTATGCTTCCTTTACAGCAAGGAGAAGGGAACGGATGAACAGGAAGAATGCTTTATTTTCCTTTGAATGCAGAGTTGTTCACCTGAGCAGCTTTGATGGCTGAGTTAGAAGGGAATTCAGGAGGCAGAGCTGGCTGTTAGATCTGTGTTAGGGATTGAGTGATGCTGCAGAAAGCAGCTTTGTTTGTGTTTGGTAATGGCTAAACAAGGGAATTGTCTTGCGTAAAGTCCCCATTGTATTTTCCTTCCTGTCTAGCTAAATTTTGCCATCACTGCGTCCTTGAAAGGAATTTTCCATTATCCTTTCATTGACTTCTCTCTCCCTTGTGGAAGGAAAGCAATAGCTTAGTGGGAAGTCACAGTACCAAACTCATAATTACAGGTTCAGAAAGATCCATAATTGGACAAGATCATAATTCTAATGGAGAAGGACGCGTGGTCAGATGCGGTTAATTCGTACAGTGATGTTCCCCTATCGATTCTGTGATGGTTGTGTGTCACTGATGATGCTGCAAATAGTTATCGGGTCCGAGGAGAGAAATTCTTCTACTCACTTTTGCAGATCTGAGCTCAATTACCAACGCTGCCATTGATCCCAGCCGGTGTGATGGGAAGTTTCCGCTCCGCGCCGTGCAGGTTGGCTGTGACTTTGTGCCGCGCCAAAGCAAGCTGGTTAAGTGGTCATAGGCTTAATTTATCTGCTGCAGAAGAAAAGCTGCGGGTTTCATGGGGCCCAGGGGTGTGCTTGACAAGGTAAATGAGCGGGACATTCCCATAGGTAAATGCTGAAGGAGGGCAAGTGTGCAGCTGTGTGAGCTGTCAGCCTGCTTGGTATCTCCGCAGCAGCAGTCATTGACATTTCCTTTTCAATGTGGGAATGCACAGAGAAGCAGTGCTGAGGCTGACTGTAGGGACAGATGCTGTCCCTCATTCCCAACTCCTTTGGATTCTTCAGTTTTGGGTTTTCCTTGCAAGCTGGTTTTTTGGACAAGAGGTGATGGCCTCAAGTTGTGCCAAGGGAGGTTCAGGTTGGATATTAGGAAACATTTTTTCTCTGATAGAGTAGTGATGCACTGGCACAGCTGCACAGGGAGTGGTGCAGTCACCCTCCCTGGAGGTGTTCCAGAACCATGGAGATGAGGCACTGAGGGATGTGGTTTGTGGGCATGGTAGGGTTTGGACTTGGGGATCTCAGAGGTCTTTTCCAGCCTTAATGGTTCTGTGATTTTGTTCTCTATGCCCTCCTGAGCTCTCCGTCCCTGTGGACGGAGCTCCCTCCTTTCCTCTTCTTCCCCCTGAGCCCTGGGGAAGCTGGGAACACCCCAGCTCCTTCCAAGCTGGGAAGTTGCAGCAGCTGCAGCAGCTGCAGTGCATGGAGGGCCCCATCTGGGGCCATCATACAAGAGCACCGAAGTCTCCAAGAGAGCCCAGCACCTTGCAGTGATGCTATCCTACATCCTCAGCTACCTATCATGGTAGGGATCAGACTTTGATGCAGATTCAGTTCCTCCTTTCTCCAGAGCAGCACATGGGTTATGTTCAGCCAGGTCCTGCTGCTGAGTTTGAGAGGAAAAGATTAGCAACAAAAAGCAAAGCAGAGAAATGGAACCTGGTGCACAAATCCTTCCTGCACGGTGCACAGCTCCTTATCCACCCCCACTGCAAAATGCATCCAGCACTGAGCTGCTCAGCTCCCGAGGGGATGAGCACCCTGGGTCACTTTGCCTTGAGCTGCAGCAAGAGGAAACAAACCACTGAATTCCTATGCATTGCTGTCAGCTGGGTGCTACTTACCTGTCCCCAGAGAGCTCCTTGGTGCTGCAGGGATGTGGGATTTGGGGACTGCAGGGTGCAGAGATGTGGGATGTATTGTGCAGTGTGCTGTGGGTTGCCGTTGGGTGAGGTCTCCCTGAACAAGGCATCCAACTGTTTCCATAGCACACAGTGCTGTGGAAAATTAGCACAAATTAGCAGAGCCCAATTATGCACCTTGGATTGGTGTCAGGCGCGTGTGCGCACGCATGTGTGTGCCTTGCTGGCTGGCAAAGTCTTCTGAGGGCTGTTAGAGAAATGAGAAGCCGAGCTTTGATCTGCCTCTGTATTTGGTGTTTAAAACAAGGCCTTTTATAAGCGAATATTAGGTATTCGGAGTCTGTTACATACAAGGAAGCTTCGCTTTGATCCTCTCCTGTCTCCAGAGGCGGCAGACACTTATTATTTCATGGGGAACCAAATGAAATGCAGAATGAAATTTGAGTAGTGCTCTCGGTGCGTGCTGGCCCCGGTGGGGCTGAGCCGTGGTGGCGGGGCAGCGTGTCACCGTGTCACCGTGTCACCCTGCTGCTGGCCTCGGTGTGCTGCATCCCTGCTCTGTGCCGTTGCAGCCCTCGGTGTGCAGTGATTCCCTGTCAGGGATCAAACAGGAGGCAGAAGGTGATAAAGCAAGCATGTCGTGTTTTGGTGCTTGCACCAGCGAGAGGGAATTATCAGCGCGTCCCGTGCCTTGTGCTGTGTCCCAGCTCCTGCAGAGAGGGGTTTCCCAGGGAAGGAAGCCCAGAGCTGCAGGTGGATGGGACAAAGCTGGTGTCTCGTGCACACGTGGCTGGTTTATGGCATGCAGAGCCGTGCTGCTTGGTGCAGGGACAGACACCCGAGAGAGGACGTCACACACGTATCACGTTGTGGTGCAGGTCCTTACCTCTGGAGCACTGGTGTGCATCCCGCACCCCACGCACAGCCCCACACAGTGCTCCTGCCCCACGCACAGCCCCACTTGGTGCCTCCTGCCCCATGCTCAGCTCCACACACGGATGCAGGCTGCTGCAACTTCCCTCTTCTTCAGCAACCAAAGCTGCACTGTCGATGCCACTTTTCCAGCAAGCTAATGAGCATGCTGCTTTTTGCATGATGGCTTATTTTGCGGAGAGAGCGCGCATGCCTTGCATCAGCAGATAAACCCTCAGCCCCTCATTCTTCCCTGCTCGGTGGCATCCAGAAACCGTGCTGGGGCAGCTCAGGGGAGAAGACCCAATGCAGGAAGCAGCTGCAAAGCGAGGGGCCGGCAATTAGAGCGGTCGCAGTGCATGGCAGCCGCAGGCTCTTTAACTTCCGCAGACCGTGCCGCAGATAACGCAGTTACAGCCGCTCCTGGAGGCAGCACGGGCCTCTCCCTTTATTTATTTATTTTTGATGGTATCTGATGCAGCCTCCGCCGGTAATTGAGTGTTTGAGAGTGAAAAATTATCTCCCTAGCTTGGCCCTTATCTTGACAGCAAAGCAGCGCTTTTAATTTAATTTTGTTCTGAGCGTGCGGGTAACAAATTTTCACTAATCGCTGCGCTGGCGCCCTCCGCATGGTAACAAGGCTCTGCTCCCCAGGTAGTCCGGCAGGGCAGAGGGGATGGCACACGGTGAGCTGCTTCTCACTCTGCCCATACTGAGATTTATCCCTTCCTGGAGCAGTGAGAGTGCTGGAGAGCAGCGTGGGAAAGCCCTGCATTGAGGAAACTGAGTTACAGCCGTGCCCCAACCCATTGGGAGCTCCTGCAGAGCAGGGACTCATGTTGTGCGTCTCCTTTGGAAATAGAGAGAGAAGGAAAAGTGGTTGTTTGGAGGTGTTTTTTTTTTTGCATGCCTGGCGTTGAAGCAGCCCAGCTCGGCTGAGCATCACCCATGTGCACTGTGATCCCAGCTCAGCTCACTGTCAGCAATCCTCCCAGGGCTGTGACACGACACGAGCTATTGAGTAGATACTGATTACTTTATTTTTTCCTTTTTCCTGCAGGAAATATGTTTTTGTGGTGCTGGATTGAAAATTGTTTTCTCTCCTTGCCTTGAAGCCTCCCGCTCAGATTTGTGTTTGTGCTCAAATAGTGTAGAACTGGGACTGGAGTTTA